AAAGGATTTGGCATGTAACAGCCTGATTATCGATTGCTGTCCTTAAGAGAATGTGATCCTCTCCTTTGCACTGATCCTGTTAGCTTTATTTACCATAACACTTGCTGAAACATCCTCTCACAGAGATAATGGTTTCCTTTGGTTGCTGTCAGAATGAACAAATGGAAACAAAAACACTCTGCTAATAGTTGTGTCCTACACTAATTAATTAAAGCAAGACAAAAGCACTGCACTGCTGGGTTTGGCTTGCCATTGCCTGGGTGCCTGGAGAGGCCCCAAGCACAGGGGCTGACCACAGGAATACCAATAACACAGCAGTGCCTACTACACAAGCTTTCCACCAGCCCAGAAACGCAGCAAAACATTCAGGAGGAATAGCAATATGTTTGGCACCCAGACTGGGATCCAGCCACCCAGAGGCTGCTGTTCTAGACAGACCTCAGCCCACATGGGCCTAAGGAGTTGCCAAAGATGGCAGATGGGTAAAGTACACAAATAAGCAAAGGGTTTTCAACAGTCCTCTTGAAATTTTTGTGGCACATCTGCACCATGCAAAAAAGCCAATAGCTCAGTCCAGGCAGGCAGTAACAGGGTTTTAGCAGGATGGTGGAAGAGAGGCAGAAATTGGCTTGCCTGCGTCTTACAGCACAATGCAAGAAAGGAAATAAGTCCAGCTCTCTTGCCCTGCAAGTGAAGACCATAAATTCTGCACATCCTGCCTCTTCAGACTGAATCAGGGTCCAGTCACCACAAGTACAAAGTAAATGAAGTGCACAAATCCAAACTAAAAAGCAGTGGCAGAGCCACAGCACTGAGCACTCACAGAGCTCACACTGTAAACAAACAGGTCCCCATATCCAAGTGCTGCTGAACACACAGACACTTATTTAAGATTTCTCTGCTGATGGACTGTGGATCACAAGAGCTTGGCCAGCAGTCCAGGACTATCCAGGCCCTGGGGAGGTGGCTTCAGGTGCCCCTTAGCTGTGGTGCTGCCTTGTGAATCCCTGCTGTCCTCCATGCCCACTTGGGGTGCTCCCTTGGTCTGGATCCCTCAGGACACCCCAGTGAGTGTCCTGTGAGTGCATGCATAAGGGTCTCAGACTCTTTCATTAATCCTTGGCTATTCCTGAACACCTTATTTCTTACTTTCCATTTTCCTAACCATCTCCTGTATTAAATCTTCATATTCATTATGTAGGAAGAAGGATTAGTGCATGTCATGAACTGAGCAGTTTAAAGCTATGACGTCAGAACTTGAGCACAACCTAGCAAATGAAATAATTTAAAATATAAGCTTTGATACAAAATAAGCACACTCACCTCAGCTGAAGGTGCAATTGCCTTTTGTAGGTGTACAGCATCTACAGATGGAAGTTAGGCAAACAAGTGGGCAACCTTCTGCTGCCCACAGCAGCTCTCACAAGCTCATGCCAAAGAGGTTTCTCACATGACTCAGAGAGAGCACTGAATTTTCTCTAAAGTTATCACCCTGCAAAGGTCAAATAACAGTAGCCAATGTTCATTTCTCCTCTGAAGCTAAGAGCAATAGTCAAGGCTATACAGACTGGAGACAGGTTTAGGGAAATATCCTGCTGACAGCTTTTTATCAAAGTTACAAGAAAACTTAAGCTGTCCAATTTTTTCTGAAGCTGTCTTTGACATCTGGTCCCTAAAGAAATGAAACATTCAAGATTAACTAGAACCACTAATTGCATAGTAAATAACTAACTACAATGGACAATAAAATTATCTCTTCCTACAGAGAAAAATAAGCATCACAGACATGAACAGACTTCCTTCTGTAGAGTTTTTCATTAAAAATCTGCCCTTGAGGTGAACTTGCTTCAACACCACACTGACACCCTTCCTGCAGGCAGAGGTAGGAAAAACAGAGACACCCTTTGTATCTGGGAATATGGGATGCCCCCAGTGCTCCCCTCAACCCATCAGCAGGGGGGTTTCTGCCCCAGACCTGCACCTTGCTTCCCACCAAGGGACAACAGTCTTTGCCATGTATCATCACATTGGCCACTGCTACAGGTTCCTCAGGGAAACAAAATCTATCAGAGCAGCCAGAAGTCCATGGCAACTGGGCTTTCCTACCATAAACACAACCCTTCTCCAGAGCTCTCTGTCTGGAGTAACTTAAAATCCCTTAGGGTGGTATCACCAGTGGAAGGATGGAGTAGGACCCTTCCCACCCACCTAGGTCCTTAAGTAATTCCCAGGGCTGACGGAAAGCCTCGCTCTAGAAATTGAGAGGGAATATTCAATACTGGTATGATAGAAATGTTGGTCTAAATGACTGAAGCACCTCACACCCTCAGGAGCATCATTTCTTTCTACAGTTTCCTACATTGCTCAGGGTAAAAACAATGCCTACCTGCCCAGCAAACTCAAATTTAAAACAATCTGACAGAGAAGAGGCATCAGAGCAAGCTTCTTTTTCACTGCTGAAAAATTGGGGCATGCTCTGGCTGACATTGCCGAGACCACCCTGGGTCTCCAGCTGAGACAAAGCCCTCAGCCACAGCTGGAACAAGCCATGACAAGCCATGATTGTCTCTGCAGAAACTCTCCTTGTTCCATTCCCACTCCAGCATAGTGCCCGCGTGTGGGCAGGGCTGTGGTGGGCAAAGTGCCTCAAAATCACACAGAAATGAGCAAACTGATTAGCCAAGCACATAACAGTACAGTTCTCCCTGTTTTCACAACTCTTACCTGAGCAAAATGTGGGCACCAGAGGTCAAAGATACATCTTGTACTGTGGGCCAACAGTGTGAAATGTGACATAAATCAAGCACCACTGCTCCTGCCAGGCACATCCGCTGAAACAGGGCCTTTGGGCAGCCACTGGACTGAGCTCAGGTTATGTTAAATTCTAAAAACACAGGAGAGATGATGATCCCTGCTGCAAATTAAGAAATTGGACTTCAGCCTCCTACCACTGAAAGGGGCACATAAGCCATTTTGTATTTATCAGATGAATTTATGAAGCTGCATTATGAAAGTATGAAGCATTAACTCCTTCCAAAAAAAAAAAATCCACAACACAGCTCATTTTGAGCTCCAACAGGAAGTCTGCAAAGTCGTATACATTTTCTTATTCTTTTTTTAAACACTTTCTTCAATGCCTCCGGCTTGCTGAGCATCGCTTGGTGCCTGCTGCGTTAGACCGTACCTGTGAATTTGGAGTGTCTGAGCCCGTGAAGGCGATCGAAGCAGACTTTGGGCGGTGTGCTCTCCTCGCCGGCCATGCGACCACTGCCCTCCAGCGGCACGGGCCGGGCCGGGCCCGCCGCGGCTCCGGGGCCTGCGCTGCGCCGGGCGCGGCTGCTGCAGCTCCCCTCAGCTGGCACGGGAAGGCGGGGAGCGCTGTAGGAGCACCTGGGAGCTCACCTTTCAGGAGCTGCGCCCTTCCAGGGAGTGGCCAAAGGAAGGAAAAGGCGCGCTTTGCCCAGGGGCTCCCCTGAAGCAAGGCCGGTACTTGGGCCGCGGGTCAGCCAGAGCGTGGCCGTGCACACCGGGCCCGCTGCCCTGGCAGTGGGAGAGCTGCTCCTCCAGCCTTCCCTCAGCCTTCCCACCGCCAGCGGCGAGCAGCAGCTTCACAGCTGAGATACAGCTCCTTGGCCACACTGAAATGCAAACTCCCAGCTTTGGTGCCCATGTCAAATAAGTAAATGTCCCACTCCTTCCTCCAGCCTTCCCTCAGCCATCCCACCGCCCAGGTCCTGCCAAGGGGAGCAGCAGCTTCACAGCTGAGATACAGCTCCTCGGCCACACTGAAATGCAAACTCCCAGCTCTGTGCCCACGTCAAATAAGTAAATGTCCAAGCATGAACCAGGGTGAAATAATGATCCTAATTTACTCTGCTTTCTTCTACCAGTCTCTTCCTTGGCTCCTGTGGTTTTTCCTCCATTAACTACCAGGAACCAGTAGGAACGCTTGAACAATGAACAACTAGCAGGCTTTTTTAAAATTATTAGAGTCATTTAAACAGTCCTGAAAAGGGTGAGAATGTTGGAACATTGTCATTTTAAAAGCCTGAGCTACACTGAGTTTAGGGGAAGAGGAGGTGCTGCTGAAGCAGTAGCACTTTATAAGCACTTAATTGTTTGGCTTGACTCTTTCTGTGCTTCTCACAAAATTCAGCACACAGCGGAAAGGCAAACATGGTGAAAAACAAGCATTTCTTCTGGAAGGCTGGGGATTCACAGGGGAAAAAATCCTGAAGAGAAGGATAAAGAATTGCTGTGGGCTTTGCTCCTGCACTTAATTCTTAGGGATCTTGCCCATGTGCTACTTGGGCAGCCCTTGCTGGTGCCTGGTAGTCTTGCAGATGCCTACAGAAGATGAAAATGCACACAGTGCTGCAGGCCTCCTCACCCCACCTGCTCAGCCAGAGCCCAGCAGCGAGCCAAGGCACTACTGTGCCACCACAGTGACACAGGGGGCTCAAGGCACCCCCTGTGACTTACTGGAGGGCCCCTTGTCCCCAGGAATGGCAGTGTGGTGCTCACAAAGGTGTAGGAAAAGCCGTGGGCATGGATGTGCAGAGCCACTGAGAGCCACAGGCACTGCTCTTTCCCATCCGATGGGGATGCCCGTGCTGGCCTCCTGAGCTGTTGTTGGTGCTTTTCCGGCCTGGCTGCCAGCCTGGAAAACAAAGTTCCCAACCAAAGCAAGAGCAAGTGGGGAGGAACACGGAGAACAGCTCTGACATTCCTGCCTGCCTCCAGCAATGTTTCCAGAGCAATAGGGCTGCAGAGGCTGGGCCTGCTGAGCTCCCAGATGAATAGAAGCAATGGACATGCTACTGCAGCAGCGTAATAGCCTTCAGCAAAGGAATTAGCGCTCAGCCATAGTGCAGCAAATCTCCCCGGTTAAAATCCCTTCCCCAGTCCCATTAGTACAACTACCAAAGAACTGCAACTTCCCTCTCTGTGAGCCTCTTTTAGACCCAGGCTTTATATCCTGCAAGGAGAGGATGGGATTTTACCAAGGGGGATTTTCTTGAAGCAGGAGGACTGAAGAGTACTGCCGCTCACCAAGGCCAGCCAGGAAAGGACGGAGCAGCAGGTGATCTGCCAAAGCTTCCTACAGCCACATCCACCAGCACTAAGGTAACAGCAGTCATTTTGCTCATTGTGAGGGTGGATGCTGAAAGAAGTGGAGGACCAGAGCAGAAGACACAAACTGCACAGGATATTTCCAGAATGAATGGGATTCACAGCTGATTGCTCTCAACGCAGATTTCTGTTTCAATAGGTGCTGAAGACTAAGATTGGTATCCTGAAAGAGAGCTCATGTTTTGCTTCCATTAATTTAACTTTATTTGGACTTCTGAATCAATCCTTCCCTCACCTTCCCAGCCACTTACAGAAGAAGGGACCTCCAAACCCCTCAGCAGGATGAACAAGACCAAGGGAGCTTTTGATAGCCCAGAACTTTGGAGCCCAGGTTGCATGCAGAGCAGCACCTCCCTGAGCAGTCTGGCACCACCCTTTGCATTTGGACAGCAGGCTATGGACACAGCCCTGAACGTAATCCTTATCACTGTCCTCCTGGTCATCATGGTGTCTCTGGGATGTACAATGGAGATAGCCAAGATCACAGCTCACCTCAGGAGACCTAAAGGTGTGGCAATAGCCATATTGGCTCAGTACAGTATCATGCCTTTGACAGCATTCATGTTGGGCAAGCTCTTCCAGCTGGGCACCTCAGAATCCCTGGCCATCCTCATCTGTGGCTGCTGCCCAGGGGGAAACCTCTCCAACATCTTTAGCCTGGCACTGAGAGGGGACATGAACCTCAGGTAAGGAAAGCTATGTACCTGTTCATTGTCCAGGCCAATCTAGTTATATGGCTGATTCAGAAACTAATTTAATAAACTTTAGGAGGCCCCAAGAAGCTGGACAAAGACTGAAATACTAAGTCCAAAACATTTGTAAAGCACCCATATTGCTCAGCAAGTTAATTTGTCCCTATTTTACAATGGGTACCTTTCTCTGAATCATTAGCATGCTGCTTTTGATGACATGGGTTCAGGAACACTTTTTCATCTCCACGTAGCAGTACATAGAGCATATAAATAAATAAATAAATAAATAAAAAGTTCTGTGTAAACTGACCATGCTGCCTGAAGAGGCTGCATCAGTGAGAAATGTTGAAATAGCAGAACACTGCTCTCCAACAAACCCTAGCGATAAAACAAGATCCAGCACAAAAATACAGACTATTACTTTTTTTCTCAGTTGTGAATTCCTGAAATGTGAACTGTACCCTTGTCATGGGTATGTGTGTACCCTTTCTCAGCATGTATGAAACTTGAGTCATCTTCTCCCTTCTCCATTCATATCACATCCTTCTACAATCTGACAGTGATATTGGGGAGATCCGAGACAAGTTGGGAAAAAGCAAGGTAATAATCTGTACAGGCAAGTAATCAGAAAAGCATAGTCCATTTTTAAAAAGTGTTGTTCTTCTACTGAGGGGTCCTTTCTTCATCTCAGTGTTGTAATGACTGCATGCTCCATGGTCCTGGCAACTGGATTAATGCCACTGCTTCTGTACCTTTACTCGGGAGGACTGTATGAGGGTGATTTGGAGGGCAAGGTACCTTACAAAGGAATAATCACCTCCCTGGTGCTGATGCTAATCCCCTGTGCCATCGGCATCATCTTGAATGAGAGGAAACCACAGTACACTGGCCTTATCACCAAGGTAAGAAGTATCCTTTGCTAGTTGCCTTTCAATCAAGGGCCTTGAGGAAGTTTTCAAAAATAAAATCACAGACATATTAACTACTTTAAGACATGCCATAAATCAATGAAAGGGCTGAGCCTAGAGCTCAAGACATCCACTTCACCACTTTAATGGTTAAAATATTTGCTCAAGGAGAAGTCCTCCATCTTTTCCAGGCAGACATTTTGTAGCCAATTTCCTACCTTGCTCTCCTTTTGCTTCAGTTTTAACTTTGTAAATTTTTTGCTACATCAGCACTAAAGAACCTCATAGGCACTGCCCCAAACTACTGCTGATACCAAAGCAGAACTCAGATAAAAATCAACCAAACAACAATAACTATCCCAAAACAAATTAAAATCACCCCAGAGGTCTGTTCTTAGAGGTCTAGCACAAGGCAAAAATCAAATCACAAAATTGCTGCTCAAATCATTGAGATACCTATCCAACAGAGGCCACTGTATCACCAAGCGCCCACTTATGCCTGGAATCATGTCCCTGCCTCCTTTATACCTCATTTAAACAGCAGAACAGAAATCCAGACAACCAGATACACCATTGTCTAACTCAAGAACTCCACTAGGCTCTAGCTGTGGGTAAAGTGGTTTCCTCAGCACCTGCTGGGGGTAGACTAGAGCCACAAAGGGACCTGGGCAGAGACAAGTAGCAATGCCAGAGAAACAAGCAGCTTCTGCAGCAAAAGCAGTCATTTTGCACATAGACTAGAAAGGTATTTGGTTATTTAAGGTCTCTCTCAGTACTAGCCCAGGATGGTCTCTTGTTGATTACTGATAACATTTATGTTCATGAAAGGCACCTATGCCCTCTGTGTACCTCACAGGATGGACAAAGAACTGGGTACAGCTGCTTCTAACAGCTGAGGCAAATTCTGCTGGGGATTTCTCTCTTGTCCACACCTCAATCACTTTTATTTTAGGCAGGGATGGTTATGCTTCTACTGTCATCTGCTGTTATAATTGTTCTGTCTGTGGCCAATATGGGAAGCTGTGTCATGGTTGTCTTCTCACCACCTCTCCTGGGAACCTCTGCCTTAATGCCACTTACTGGATTCCTGCTGGGCTACGCTGTCTCTGCAGCCTTCAAGCTTGATGACCGGTATGTTCTTGTTCTTCCACACCTCCCTCCCCTCTCTCTCATCAGGAACAGAGAGGTTTGGCAGCTCTGCTTTGCGGAGCAATGGTGAAAACATGAATTTTAGGAATATACTTCTGTAGAACACTGACCCCATTCACCCAAATAGGATCTAGAAATACAACCAGACACAGTACAAGCTGGTCCCAAGCCAGTGACTCCCACAGCTTGAGTGGGAAGAGAAATTTAACCTCTGCTTGGCTTAACTGAGAGAGGAGGAATAGCTAAGCAGGTGTTTCTGGCACAGGCACCCGATCACCATGGAAGGTTTATTGAACAAGTAGGTGGATGGATGGTTTTGGCTTAAGGTCACTAGTGACCTGCTAAACGTATTACCAACCCTCTTCCCTTGGTAATGAAGTTGGGGGGAAAACATTTATTAACACCAGAAAAAAACCCAAACCCAAAAACTGAGAAATACCAACAGAGCTCAAACCCCAGGTGACACGATTATTCCCCAGCTGATTACTACCTCAAATCAGTCACTGCTTTCTCAGCTGCAGCCCCAGGAATTTAGAATGAAAACCTGATATATAAAACCTGCTCCTCCTTTTCTCCTCATGCTACATAAACAAGGTAGGTATCCTCCTAGTCCTGTTTTATACCTTCATATTTTGGACTCCTACCATCCTCCTTACTTCCCTGCAGGAAGCTGCAGAGTCCAGAGCAGGACACAAGGCTCTGATACCATTATGAACAAAGTTCACATTTGTAACATGATCTGTCTCTGCCCATTGCCAATGGAGCCGGAGGCAAAACCTTCTAGGGATTGCAGTGTTGTTCCTGACAGAGCACCTTTTAGCCACAGGCAAGTGCACCAGCAAGGTGGGCAGGACTCTGTTTCAGTTGTTTGAAAGCAATTTAGATCTGTAATCTATTTTTTTTCCTTCAGGTGCAGGCGGACAGTGTGCATGGAAACTGGCAGCCAGAATGTACAGCTTGGCTCAGCTATCCTCAAGGTCACCTTCGCCCCAGAGATCATTGGCCCCCTGTACTTCTTCCCACTACTCTACTTGCTCTTCCAGCTTGGAGAAGGATTTCTGCTCATCCTGGTCTTTCGGATCCATGACAGGATAAAGCAAGCCAATGGCAAGTACAGCTTTGCTCCTTTATTTCTTACACTTTCCTCGCTAAACCATACATGCTTACAATGTAACTACCAATGCATCGCTGCTCTATAAAGGCAGAATCCAGTTGCTCTTTAACTAGGGATTACATACCCGGCACATTAAATTCAAATCAGAGTCAAAAATTCAGAGGTAACTGAAGACCTTAGAAATTTAATGGAATTCTTGCATCAGCAGGATGTTTCACACAGCTACATACTATCAAAACTATCAGTGCTCAGGTTTTCACAGTCTGGCGCTTTAAGCTACAGTGGACACCCTGTGAAAGTCATGACTTGCACTAAGCACATGCAAAGAACAGAGGTGTTTGCGTGTGGCTAAAACTGCACAAAAACATTACATATTCTTAATGCAACAAATCCCAGCTTTGCTTCAAGCTGTTAAGTGATTCCCTGAGAGGACAGAACTGCCAAATACTGCAACCAAAGGAATGAAACATTTGGGTCTCTTGCTAGAAAAGTACATAAAGAGATTGAAACTTCATTCTTAAATATATACAATATTGGTACAGATGTGAAATAGACTCTTCTCCAACTCCAGCAGGTTCCTAATTCCAAGCTCAGCTGACTGCACAGACGGCTAAATGAGATCCTCCACCCCTCTGATGCTGCCAGTCCAGCTTTTCTCCACTGCCTTGAGACAGATGCAGCAGAGTAGCTGATACAGAGCTGCTTCAGGATCACTTTACCACATCTCATAGCTATGCTGGAGGACAACTTAATTTTGGGGGGACAACACACACATCTGGACACTTGGGTGTGTGTTCAGAGCAAAGCAGTTGATACTGGAAACAAACATGCAGGTGCTGGCAAGACTGTAACAAAAAGGTTGTATTCCAGCCTCCAGGTCATAAATGACTGGAAACAAACTGGCTTCAGTCTTTCAGCAGGAATCCCAAATGCCTTCCTCTTGTTTTAAATGACCCAGTAATTCCAGTCGTAGCTGTCACAATCTTTCCCTCACCTGGCTTCAGAATTGCCTCTTCTCACATTTTTCTCTTTCTTCAGATGGAGCAAAAATTATCTGTGCAGGTGCAGACACATTTAGTGCTCAAGAAATGAAATCAGTGTCAAGACATGGCAGAAACAGTGGAAAACCGGGAAAACAATGTATGGATTCTACAGCAGTTGCTCTCACAACCCTCCAAGCCCTCCCTTCTGCAGCCAGCTCATAGGTGTCCAGCTCTTCTGTCAACTTACCAGTATGCGCACTTCACAGCAGCCACAGCCATCCGCACCCTGTTATTCCCCAAAGACCTTGCTGCAGACTAAGCCTCGTTCTGTCAGCTCAGAAAGGAGACTTTCACTGACTTTCAAAGTCATTGTGACAACCCTCTGGGACAGCTGAAAAACATGATAAGTGACTGTCCCCATTTTACCTACAAGAAAATCACTGTGTACATCAGTTGCCTTTCTTAATTTCACTTACCTGTAACTGCATGGAAGCAGATCCTGACATTAATGTACTTTCTCTAACAGGCCCAGAATGAGCTGTGAAAGTTTCTCCGTGCAGAAGCCAGTGAGATCAAATGCACAGCCAAGCAGCCCATGGGCTGTTGATTTCTCCCATTGTCCAACAGGTATCACTGATCCCCCAGCACAGAGGCCACACAAACCATGATCGTGGCTACACAAACTGCCTTTGTATGCCGAGTTTGGGCCCAGCAAGCTGTACCTCCAACACCAGATGAACTTTAAATGTGCCTTCTTTTGTAGCAGTCTGAGAACTCAACACCACACCTGTTCTAGACACCACCTGGGTATGGTCACACTACACACACAGAGCCAGGAAAGCTGGCATCAGCATCTCCAATGTCCAGACTATGCCTTGTAACCCAAAGTAGTTCATCTTAATTAAGAATAAACCAGTTTGTATCAAGAACCTACACTAAATAAACTGTAATTTCTTATGCCAGAAATCAACATAAGCCTCTATACTGTAAAGCCTGGGAGTTTAATAGAAAGCTCATACAACAGCCAGCTCCCCAGGGAAAATGCAGGCACCTGCTCATGCTGCTTGCACGGCAAGTAAGTGGTGCGGTCTAGAAACACAATCCAGAACAACTATTTATAGAGCAGATAATACTCACATTTCGCCTGACAGAAGTCTGTGATCCCTTTCATCACACCAAGTGCCTTCAGCCACCTGGGTTCCAGCTGAAGCCAAGTCCCAGCTGGACACAGATGCCCATCATCATCTAAGTTAGTAGGATCAACTGACTCAAGATCTCTACACAGCTGACCTTCCACCCTTATGAGTGTGAAGGCTGTTTTACCCCTGCAAGTTAGAGCCCTCTTGCTACACACCTCTTGGGGTGATCCAGCATCTGCACCACTATGGCTCTGAGAATGAAGCCTCCCATTCCCCAGAGCTGACTGGCAACAACCCAGTTAACTGTGGATCCTACCCCCTCTAAGGCCTGCTCTCAGCCCAACACACTGACACCTCAACAGACAGACCCACGCAGTACAAGAGCTCCTCCTCCTTCCTTAGCTTGGCACCAGAGACCTCTGCAGCAGCAGGGAGAAAGGGCAGCAGGGCTGCAGAGGCCAATGCCCAACCTCCCACAAGGCCAGACCCTGCTCCTAGAGGAACCCCCTTGCACTTCCTACAGTTATCCAAATCTGAGCCTAGCCTTTTTAAAGGTTTCTACAGATTGCTAGAATAGCTTTGTAAACCACTTCATGAGAAAACACATTATTTAAAAAATTTAATTCCTAAGTTCTTGTGGTTGAGGGCTTGAGAAATACAGGGACTGCAGAGGACTGCTGCCACTGGAAGGCACAAACACTACAACACAGAACCTCATGGTACTACTGCTGCATTACTCCCACCCATTGACTTAAAAATCCCTCTTCCCTCAGAATGAGGACTAATGCTTACAAAAATGGTTTATCTACACTCCAGTGTTCTCATACGAACATGCACAAATACACCAATGAAGAATGCTGTCTACATCTGTCTTTACCACTCCACACTTCTTACCCCAAGTCATTAAAAGCTGAATGACTCATCCACTCCACTTTCTGCTATGAACTGTGACAGCCTGATTATCCATGTTCTTATTTCAGAACAGACACAGCCAAGGACATCACACAATGTATTTAGAAGGATTCTAATTCTCATCCCTGCCCAAAACAGTAATTACTTGGGCACAGCTCCATCTTTAAAAACAATTTTAAGTTTTAAAATGTTCACAGTCACAACCACTTTATGAACACCAAGAAACAAAGTAGAGGCAGAAATGTTTCTTTATACTTTATTTGAACTATTTTATTCTTAGGTATCAAGAAATAAGAGTGCTTTATAGAATATTATTACCACAGGGCAGTGAAATGGGCATTTTCTTAGTGTAGTGCAAGTCATATTAAATGAAAATATTTTAAAATAAAGTTTTATTACCAGTACTGACCAGCACTTAATCTGCTGGCCCATAGCTGAAACAATGTCTCAAAAGCACAAAAAAATACCCTCTGAAATAAAGCTTTATGTACAGCACATATAGAGCTCTCTTAGATGTCTAAAACTATTAGTCGGAAACATTAATGTTTTTAGTTGCTATTCACAGTTGAATATACTGAGAATTAAGTGTTCAGATGACTTTAAAGTACAAAAAAATTTGTTTTCTTTAGTTATAAAGAGCTCTGCCAATATACACAAACTATACACTTCAGACATTCACAAAAAAATGTGAGCAAGAAAAGGGTTATCAAAAACATTTAATACAATTAGTCAATAACCCTTCCCACCATGGTCCACATCTACAAAGTTCCCCCTTCCCTCCCCTCTCCCCATCCAAACCCTTTCCCACAGAAAGTCACATACTTACCAAAGTTTTAGCAAGTATGGTTTAAAAAAGAGCCCGCTGGGCAAGTTAGTTATAGTTCAGTTGCCACTGTCAACAGATCTGGACCTTGATCTAGACCTCTGCCGGTCTACGGATGACGGAGATTTGGATCTGCTGGAAGAAGCACGTTTCTGGCTCTTGTGCGGCAGGGGAGATCTGCTGACTGACCGCGACTTGCTGCGGCTCCTGCTGCGGGACCTGCTGTAGGACTTGCGGCTGCGGGACCGCGAGCGGCTGCGGGACCCGGAGGAGCTCCTGCTGCGCGACCGCGAGCGGCTCCTGGACCTACTGAGGAGCCCAGAGGAGCGCCAGTCAGCGCCAGCTGCGGAACCGCACGGCCCCAGGCAGGCCAGGCACAGCCCCAGCTCGCCTTTGCAGTCAGCGACTTCAAAGGTTCTCAGGGAATGTTTAAGCAGTATTAAGAGAGTAGAAATCCATACCTGTGCCTTTTGCTGCCTTCGATTAGTTTGATTTTCCTTCCATTAATTTCTTTACCAGAAAGCTTTTCGATAGCATTCTTTAAATCACTGTAAGAGGCAAATTCAACCACCCTATGGAAAAAACAAACAAACAAACAAAAAGCTCACTATTACAAGTAGTAGTTACCAATACAAACAAAATTTACACTGTGAAAAAACCAACCAAACAAAACCCCAAAACCTACACTGCTCAGGTAATTATCCCTTGTCATCACTGAAGCATGAAAAATTCCCCATCCCAAACATTTCCCACACACATTTTCAAAGGCTAGCTAAATTAAGCCATGAACAGCTGCTAACACTGAAAGCTGCCAGGTTCACTCCCCAAATATTACATATACAGGTTACTCTACAGTTTTCAAGAGATCACTTGATAGGCTTACCCTTCATTTAACTTAGGTCTGTGTGCATCTGCAAAGGTTACTTCCCCGGCTTGCCTCATGAAGTCTTTGAGATCCTAACACAAGACCATTTTTGTTATGCAAAGAAGTGAAATTAACATTTATTTATACAAAAGCAGTTTAAAGCAAACAAAAGATACTTATGACTACTGAAAGAGAAGTTGTTAGATAAATCACAAACATGGCAACTGCCATACTTGTAATCAAAATTGCATTATCTGTATCACGATCTGTATCAGGGCACGAAATAAATGAGAAAAGCATATTGCTTTAAGCAAAATGCTAATAAAGGGTCTTAACATTAAGGTAAATATTAGTCTAAAATGATTTTATAGATTAAATTACAAAGAGAAAGAAAGAGAGAGAAAAAAAGAAATAAAAAGCACATTTTTATATCTACTGAATTGACTTTGAAATACTACCCATGTATTTTTGGACTATTTCAATCTCCATTTACATTACAAGTCTTATATGAATACAAAATTACATTTACATAACACCAATTATTTTGTGCCCCATATGTCATTAAAAATATAGTTTACTTTACCTTTATAAACATTTCCCTAGGCTAGCCAAGCAGCAAACTGCATTAAGCGACCGGAGATACCGTCATGACATATGCCCGACTGGCTCTTCGCCACCCACTTGCCGAACACTACCCAGTCGATGGAAGCCATTAATCGCACTGCCCTCCCTATCAGGAGACTATGGATGGATCCATTCTCTATGCTTCATGTCACCAAGGACCACTTTACTGCGATCAGGATTCCAACGACCACCTAATTTCCAATCTTTCAACTCTTTTCGACCAGGACCTCGTTATTCGGAAGCGTTACAGGAAGAACAGCTCTCAACTTAGGAATCAGATCTCGTTAACGCTCTGGGACCGCTGCAATGTGGCACTTTAAGGAGTGCATCGATTACGTCTAGACCGGCAAACACAGATCTAGAGGTGGCCAAGTGACATTGTAGGAGCTGACTGGAAAGTCAACCAGGCCCGACCAAGAGTGACCAAGACAGAACGATTAGGATAACCCACAGGCACTCCTCGTCATAAGGCCAACGACACAGATAGGCTGGCAAATAAAGGGTTTAATATGTGGTTAAAATGGATTTTAAAAACAAGAAAAAAAAAATAAATATATATCCTCAAACATATAAGTTTATTATTATTACGAATTAACGTTAACTAGCTTTCATTCAAAATATTTAAGTTACATTACTAAAAATCATATTAATTACATAAACATTTTAATAAGCTAGGTTTTAATTTAATTAATTATTTTACAAAATAATTACATTACGTACCCATTAAATGAAGTTAAAATAGTTAATCATGTTTCAACAAACCTGCCAGCTGACACGGGAAGACAAATTTTCCACTATGAGGCGATTTTCTGTTCTGAGAGGTGGGGCGTTTCTGTTTTGAAACAAACAATTCAGACTTCTATCAGTAAATACCATATAACCATGTTAACGTTAACAGGGGCTGTACCAAGAGCTGATATGAGCATATCATCATCAGTACTATTGACCTGAGCTATGTAATGGCTCGAGCAATCTAGGGCAGGCACTAAGTACGTAAGGGAGGGAACAGAACGTGAGGATGACAGGCATAGCTGAGAAGTTCTGTAATCTTCGCTATCCTGCTGCCACATCTAACAAAATTAGAAGGCAAATAACACCTTTTAATAGCTCATTGCAGCTCACATTCTCCGAGATGAGCCCAAGGCATTCTTTTTTTAAACTGCACTGGCTCAAAGCTGCATGTACCTCCTGTCACTGCGCGGGCGGCGGCTACTGAACCGGTCAGAGTACCTCCCTCTGCCTCTGCCCCTCGAGCGTGCTCTGGCATGCTCAATCGTCACCCTGGGAAGAGAAACACAAAACAAAAGATGTGGTTTTACATATTTCTTCTTTCATATACAGTTATCATTCCCAGGAAAAGACAAACCAAAGAATAACAAAAGAGTCTGACCAATACTGACAACACAATTCAAATTGAAATTGACTTTTTTTTAGATGCCCAAGGTTGTACAGCCATGAAATAAGACACCTCACCTTTCACTGCAAAGTTCTTTTCCATCCAATTCATAAACAGCATCGTCTGCATCCCTCGGATCCTCAAACTCCTGCAGAACCAAGACAACAAAACCCAGCAATTACATTCCAAAGAACGAGCAGCTGCTTGTCACGTGGTGCGCCTTGATGGGCGCATTAATGATTTTCTTTCGAAATAGCTTCATAAACCTCAAACGCGACTGAGCACTAAGGGGGTGGGGAAGGGAGAGGGGGCACACTCACCACGAAGCCGAAGCCCCTTTTGAGGTCGATGTCTCGGATGCGACCATACCCTTTGAAGAACCTCTCCACATCCTTCTCCCTGGCGGCCGGGTTCAGCCTCCCGATGAAGACGCGGCAGCCGCTCATGGCGGTGTGTGCGCGGCCCTGCTGCGGGACAGGCGCGTCAGGCCCGCCCGGTGACTCAGCACCGCACTGCGCCAGCCGGCCCCGCCCCCGCCTGCAGCCAATGGCAAGGCGGCGGGCGGACACCGCCTCACCCTCGCCCAATAGGAGCCCGGCGCTCGGCCTCCGGCCCCGCCCAGCCGCCGTCCCTCCCCGCTAGCCCCGCCCCCAGCCCAAGAAGAAAAGCAAACGCCATCGCTCTGCCACAAAATGGCGGCCGTGCCGCACCCGCCTCCGGCGGCGACCCCGCCGCGGCGCGCACCGAGCGGAACGGAGCGGTGACAACGCCGGCCGCGGGTCCGCGGGCCGGCCGGGCACACGGCAGAAGCGCCCCGCACCGCACACGCTCGGCTTCCCCCGCGCTCCGCTCTGCGGGGAAGGCCCCGGAGCTTTTACGAACCTGGGCTGTGGGTCTCGGTGCAGGCCGAGCCGGACGGCGGCGCGGTGCGGCGCGGCAGACGATCGGCGGGCCGGTCGGGCAGACGCGTCCTCCCCGGGCGACAGACGGCTCCGACTGCTGCGCAACAGCGGCGCCGCACCGCGAAATGGAGGCGGCCCCGCGCGTCAGCGCCGCCCCGCGCGGCCATTGGCGGAGGCGGCGGCCACGCCCCTCCCCGGGGAATCCAGGTCAGCGCGGGGGCCGCGCCCGTGCCCCTCACGCGGCAGCCATGTTGGGGCGGGAGCGGGGCCTGGGGCGGGACGCTGCGCTCAGGGCTGGAACACAACCGTGGGCTTTACCCATCCAGTGCACAGCAGGCTAAAACCTTGGGTGCGGGCAAGGGCTTGCGTCAGGCGTTTCTGGCCCTTGCTGAACAAAGAATGAGGGGAGGAAAATAGATGAGATCCTGATCTGCTTAAATCCTCATTTGGAATCAAATGTGTGGTGACAAGGGAGAGAGCTGAGCTTTGTCTCCATTTTACATAACTCTGCAGAATTTATCACAGCTTGGCTTCTAGGTGGTTGCAGTAATGGCAAGAGATTGTCCCAAGGCATATTTGAAATGAAGACATCTGAAAGTTGAAGATTCACCTGCTATTTTTCAGTACAGACGGAGGATGCAGCTCTGTGACCGTCCTTACCAGATCTGTGCAATGCTGGATCTGTTGACTTTACACAAAAAGCCAGCAGATACAGCTGCAGCAGGCTGCCTCTTTTGATGCATTTTGATAATTACAGTATCATCCTTTAAATAGCATTTTCCTGACTTGTCACCTGAAGTCCTGTGCTGCCCTGAGTCCCAGCCCTACCCCTTCCCTTTGTGGGCCGGGAATAACATAACACCCAGGCTCTGTTATTAATGACCTCTGTGGGATGAATTTCTCTTTTTCGTGCTTAGTCACCGACATCTGTTTCCCTGGAACAATGCAGCACGTGATGGGGCTGACATCATAGCTTTGCACGACTGCCCCCACAGTCACTCCTCAAACCGCAACAGCAGCAGAGTACCAAAGATGGGAAAGTTATTTCTGCTGCAGGCAGTGACGGAAAGGTTACCGTGTAGCTAAAGGCCAAGGGCACTGTCTGCATCACTTGCTTCTCTCTTGGGTTCCAAAGATGCACATTTCCATCCTGTGCAGAGGCAGCATCTGTGAGGAGAGCCAGGATGATGCACAGAGGAGAAAATCTGCAGTACAGGCAGGACTTGAGGACTTTCCTTTGAGCGAGAAAAGACAATGCTGGGATTATCCCTGTGGATCATAACCTTTGCCTGCTGAAGAAGATACATTGAGATGTGCCATCTAACATATAAGAGTGCTAATTTCATAATGAGTTACAGAGCTTTAACAGGTGCCATGGGAACAGGCAGTTCTGTTCCTGCCAACACCAGGACTCTCCTGTCTGCAGAGTGAGCTGGTGCACAAAGCTAAACCAGCAAAAGGTAGTGCTGGAAAAGGCAGCAAGCAGAAGGTTTAACTCCATGAAAACCAGCTTGGAGAGGGATAAAAACAAGGGTTAGCACTGAATAGAGAAGAGGGGAAGGGGCAGGAGTGCCCCTTTAAGGAAGAGCTGCTCAATTTAGCAGTGCAAAACTGCAGTTTAAAAAGCCTTGTCCTTGTAATGCCAAGCAGAAATCCCCCTGCATTGGAACACTGGAGGAAAAGCATCAAAAGTCAGGAGGAGATTCGGGAGATGACAATCCCTCTTTAGGACATTCCTGTGTTATCTAAGGCTGTTACCAGCAAAAATTTTGGTCACACACTCTTCTATTCTCATGGATTTCTCATGTGAGGGTCATGAGCAAGCAGATTTGTTTCCTACCCAGTTTCTCCAAGTTTTATGAAAGCAGGCAGTACTGTTTCACCTTTTAGCTCGAGGTTGTCTGAAGACCACCAGACTTAATATTATTGCTGCTGGCTAGCCCAGTAGTGTACACCTTCCTGCAGTTCTGGTTGTTGGGAGCCACACAAGCTGGCTGAAATCCTTGCAGTTTATTAATCAAGGTAACTAAGGAAATACAGTTACTATTTGGAAGTGAGAAGGTCATGAGGCAGAGGAAGATGAAATGAAAGTTGAAACAAAGTCTCATATACCATTAATGTCTGCTTGTTGAAAACAGTTGACAAGGAATAATTCTTTGCTGTCTCTTCCAAATTAAAAAAAAAAGTAATCAAATGAAACTAATGGAGTCCAAGTCAAAAGGTACAAAAAGAGGTGGTTCCTCACCAACTGATAGTAGACCTCTAGCATAAATTGCTGCAGGATGCTCAGGATACAAGAAGTTTATATGGCCTCACCGTAGAGATGGTTTTAAACCAGGGAGGAGGAGGAAACAGGGAAAAAAGGAGTGAGAGAGGGAAAATAGAGACTCCAGTTCAGAGACTGCCTAGCGCTGCTGAAGACCCTCCACAAAACCTGCTGTTCCACAGATCCACAGTGAAGCTGCTGTATAAGCCTTGCAGCCAGAGACTCAGCACTTTGCCCAGTCCTACAAGACTTCTTGAATGAAAGCAGAAGTGTAGCTGGCATCCTCTCCTGCTGCTGGTGAATATATTTGTTACTTCTTCCACTGTGTTATCCACTAGGTTATCTGTGTTAATCTCTTCTACTGTTCTTTGTTTTCTCCTTTCCTGTACTCTTAGTTACCTTTGCATTCTCTGTTCTGTTTTTTCCAAAGCTCCATGACTAACTAAACTAACATATTTCTGTTACTGCTACAGAAGTGTAGCTCTCTTAGAAGTAGCAGCAATGAGGGTTCAAGAACAGCTTTACAAAAGTCTCAAGTAGGTGGCAAACACTGAATAGAGAATTTAATAATTGAGCACCAATTGCTCCAAATTCAAAATATTTGGAGAAAGAAAATGGAAACTGACAAAAAATAACAGAATAGCACATTCAGAAATTAGTTTTTCACAGGTTTTTTTTTTTTCTGTTTTTCCACTTTCTGGAAAAGCTAAGCTTTTCAAATTGCTCAAATCTAAAAATATAGATTTCTTATATCTTTGTGTCAGGCTGAGAGCCCTTGCCCACCACCCAGAAGTATATTTAGCAAGTAGAATCCTTTTTTTTGGCAGACTAATTCAGGGTGAAACGTGCTGCCCTGGGGCTGTATCACTGAGCAGGCAGTAGAGTTAGGGAGCCTGACTGAGGCTGCTCTTCCACAGTCCCGACAGACCCTCACAGCCTAACCTGCTTTGTTTCAGCTGCCTCCTGCCAGAACGCCCTGGATAACAGCTCCTCACACTCATCTTTTCTAGCCAAATGTAATAATGAACATCCCATTCATTATAGCCCAGCAGCAGTATTAAGCTCGTCCTGAAGGTACCTTAGGTGCAGGGGATCTGTAGCTCAACAGTGAAGTTGCAGACTTTACCTTTTAGCTCAGGTGAGTATGTGTCTTCCATGGCTGTGGCTCAGGAGGAGGGAGCAGAGGCAGGACTGACCATCCCCTCTTCTGGACATGGAGCAGGCACTGCCAATGTCTCTGCAGTTTGCCACTGTGTGAAGCAGTCAAGGCAGATTGACAACAGAGTAGTGCACCATCACATCAGATCATATCCCAGTAGAAATTTAATAATGCCAAGGCCTTATGCACCATCACATTTTTACATGATCTATAAATGCAACAAGGTTTAGGTTAGCTTTTATGCAAATTTATGCCAGCTGCAGATGGGCAGCTGGAACCTGGTCCAGCATGAAGATTACAGGTACAAAGTGGAAAGGATGTTTTTTTCCTTGGGTTAATATTTGAATCATCAGAACAAGCTTACACAGCTCAGTGTGTTTACTTTTAGATGCTGAATGCAAACACATGAGGAAATCTCAGAACACTGTGAGAGCAGGCTGTAGACTGCTGCAAAAACACCTTATGGGGTCAAAGGTATTTATAAACCTCCCGAGGGTAACAGGAGATCACCTGCAGGATCATGTGGCCTTCCTTGTCTGGCCCTTTTCTGAAAGCCATGATGTAACTTCAGGTCAGAGCTGCCCCCAAACAACTGCCATGGTCTGCCATTACATTTCCAAGCAGCTTCAATCATACTGTGTCTTTGTTTTGACAAACCACCTTCTCTGTGTACAGAGACCCAGGGACTAACACTGCTGACAGTTTTTGTTTTCAGCAGAGGGCAGATTGCAAACACTGAGCATGTTGTCTTCACCTTTTGCTTAACTGAGACACAGTACTCACTTTAAACAGAGTATGAAGAATATAGGTCATAATAGGGGAAGAATAGGATGAAGAAAGTTCACCTCTTCTCAAGAAAACAGCACTTTTAATCCTTAAACTCTGTGAAGTAACTAATGAACCATTTCTGAGAAATCTCTAGTACAATACCAAATGCTAATTTCCCAGTAGTGCAGTGATTTTTCGATTGGCAGACTTCAAAGGTCAGAAAGGCAATGGAACAAAAGATTAAATCATCAATTTTTACACACTTTCATTCAGTACACTGGTCAGCAGCTTCTGCCAACAGGGCAGGCAGTCAAGATCAAGATATTTCAAGTGAATACAACACTCCTTACTGCAATAACTAACTTATCAGGCAAGGGGGGGGGAATAGAGATGTGTTAACCCTGACCATAATAAATCTCTTAGTCCATTTTTAAGCAACTAGGAAAATACCAAAGTAAAATTCATTGTAAGCTGAAAGTACAACATTTTCATTTTCAGAGTTTGCACTCAAAACAGCTCCTTGACAAGCCTAGAGGCAGTGCCTTTGGGGAATCAGGGGTCTCTTCTGAGCATGGAATCATTCAATACCTGCATTAATAATTTGTTGAACAGATTCGAGCATGCAGTGTTAAAACATGCAGATGAATCAGGCTGGAAGAGTTTCAAATTCTCTGAAGATAAGAAAAGAGGGTGTGATATTTAAGGGCCAAGTTATGAAGTGAATGGCAGAATGACAGGCAAGATTTAACAATAACTTCAGTTTCCTCACCACAGAATGCCACACCATTCATAAAGAGGAATATATATTGTTTTCTGCTATATTTGGTGAATAGAAGTCAAACCTTCATGGAAGGTTGGAGTGTTATGAATGCTGTAAGTTCCTTCTGTTCATCTCACCCTATTTTCCATGCAGTTCAAGTCGGGGGAGGACAATACAAGCCCAATCAATGCTGTGTTTATTTCTTATTGTTAGAACACAGTTAAATTGAGGAAAAACAACATTAAAACATTCTACCACATACTTTCCCAGTCCAGGAAAAATGTCAATAGGCTGTAAGTACAAGTGACTGTTTAAAATAGATGTCACATTACATATATTAAAATAAAGGCAAAAAAGGAAAAAACTTACACAAAAATATATATTCTACCTTTCAGAAAAGGGAATGAAATCTTGAAATCAGAGAACCTAAAGTAACAAATGCTCTGGAAAGGAGATTGATCAAATCAGGTGCAATTGAAAAAGTCCAGAAAATTTGCAAATGGCATGACTACAACCAAATTACTGAGATGAAAAGAGGTGCAGTGAAAAGGACTGAAAGTTGCTGAAATTTTTCCCATTGAAATCCCAAAAGCAGGCCAGAAAGGTAAATAAAGAGACAAGAGAAGAAACTGAAGAAATTAAATGTGAAAAAAAAATTAAAAGAAAAATCTGAAATGAACAAAACCAATAAAAGTGAATGGGATGACCTGAAATGCAGGGAAAGGGACCAAAGCTTGCCTCATTGAAATTGACCCTCATTTAAATGACAAGATTTCATTCCCTTTCCTGAAAAGAATTGGAATATATATATATATACATATACACACATATATATGACATTATGCTTTCTTCAGCCTTCTGACGGATGTTGCTGGAAAGCAAACTGTATTTTCAGTACCTTTTTAACCATCCAGGAATGATGCATAACTTGTATTTTATTTATATGTCACTTAAGTTACTTTGAAAAGGTGTGTGTATATACAAGCATGATAACCCTTTGAATGTTCTCATACCAATACCAAGGTGTTTCTTTTCATATTGCCTAAAGTACATGTATACCTGATCTTTCTGTAGATGTCATTTGATGCTATAGTCAATTCAGTGACAGGCCTGTTTCTGGAGGTTTCTGCTCCCAGCTTCTCATTCTTGCTGTTCTCTCTCCTTCCATTTTACCAACTCAGCTTTCAGAGATACTCTAATAAGAATTATTTTGGGTTTTTTTGAACCAGAACTATCACTCCTCCCCCTTGACAGGGCTCTGCTGTCAGAGGGGTACTAACGAGGTCCACATCTCACCATATCCACACCAGGGAATTTATCTCTGAAGTGCTCATTCCCTGCTGGGGACTGTGCCACCAGGTAACATCAGGCCCTTGAGCTTTACACTATCCCATGATCTAGGTGACAAATACAACAGCACAGAGCTAGAATAATTAGTGAGGGCACTGGAACTCACCCTTTTGCAAACCCATAATGCCAGCCAGCCAGCCAAGCCCTCAAGAAGACAATTAATTCTCTGAAAATTTCCCTTGCAGCCACAAGTGCTGGAAAAGTTGTCTAAATGTAAGAGAAAATGAAGCAGATTTTGGGTTGTATTATCCTCAGACGCGGATTCTGTCTGCAAGAAGCCCTTCATGAGCAAGGGGTGTTTGGTGCCACAAAGCACTGTCATCTGCAGTAATTAAGGATGATCAGCACCAGACACTACAGATGAGAGGTGGGACAGCTCCTGGGGTGCAGCAGCTGGAAGGCTCAGGGGACACCTCGGCAGTGGTTCAGCTCTTATTTCTTAAGCATAGGGATTTGTCTGAAGCCCGCTACTCCCTGTGTGGATTTAAAGGGCTGTATGAGGGTCAGCTCAAATCAAGTTAACCTCAGAGCCCTGACAGTGATGTGCAGTGAGCTGCAGTGCATGCCAGGCTGCAAAGCACAGTTACTCAAGAACATATTCCACCTATTGCTCTAGAGTGAAGTGTTTGGCCACCACAGTGTTCTGAATATGCGTCTGCCCAAAACAAAAGACATGATTGTGCAGATCTCTTTTCTATTTGGCACCATTTCTGCAGCTCTAAAACAGCCATGGCTTCTCTCCTGCAGCCCCCTGAGCTGCAGAGCACATTAAGTAATGCCACAACAGCTTTTTCAAGGATCTGATAGTGCTACACGACTCTCCAGCATCCTCAGTTTGCTGGCTCCCAGCATATACACAAGCAGAAAAGTTCTCTTGTGACTACTGTCAAATTCAGGCATTGAATGGCAAGGAGTGGAAGCAACAGACACAGGCTATTCTGGACAGCAGAAAGCTGGAACACAAAGAGCCTGGCAGGTCAGTCCACTCTTCATTACTTGCTCTGTCTCCTCACTACCACCTTCTGCCTTTCCAAAGGAAAATATGTCCCCTCCCCAGCACAGAGATAAGCCAAGAGCCTTGGCTGCTGCTGCTCTCTGTGGGAAGTCACTTCAGTTTAACAAACGCCATTACAAGACACCTTATTTTTTGTCTGTTTAACCCATGTTTATGTTTCAGAATTTATCCTGTCACATTGAGTTACAAGCCCTTGGAATAGGATAAAGGCTCCTTTTTCTTCCCTGGGGACTGTTCCTTTTGAATGGTAATAACAACCCTCCTTAGCTGTCCTGCATAGCTGACATACACATAGTTATCCCTTTTCATCTTTTCTTGTAAGTCCTTCCAGCCTCTGATAATGTCATTGGTCTTGAGTGACCCTTGCTTTGTTTTTCCCATGTCTTAGACTCAGCTGCAAGACAGCTGATAACATTTATAATTATCAAGATGCTTAAATATGTTGCTGCTCCCACAGGTGCCTCCCACCCCTCCTCATCTGTTGCTGGGAGGGTGTCTCCTGGAAGCTCAGAAGCCTTTTCTTCAGGCTAGGCTGAATTCATGTTACAAGGCTGGCCTGATCATCCTCTGCTGCTCTGGACTGTGCTGCTGAGAGGAAGGAAAATGAACTCCCTGTCTGGTGAAAAATGCTCTCCATGACCCTAGCTCTGCTGTCTGAGATGGAAATATGGACATAAAGCACTGGCTCTGGCAGGCAGCTTCATGGAAGAGGAGTGACTCAGGCAAAATACTGATGGGCTCTGCACTCAAAGTATAACACACTGACCAAACTCTATACACAGGGAAACTTGAAGTGTTCCTGACAGCTGCACTGGGCTTCAATCCCATTTTGGGTTGGGTTGTTGGTTTTTTGGGTTTTTTTTCTCCCAAAGCTAGAACAAAAAAGGAACAAAAACAAAATAAAGAAGAGCATTAAAAAATTCATTCCCTATTTAAAGAAAATACAATTTTAAGGGGTTTTTTTTGTTTTGTTTTACCAAATCCTTTTCACATTCAATGAAGAAAAGGGTGGTTTTAAGCTTAAACTGACATCCCTAATTTCAAAGGTAAAAGTAGCCATGGCTATGTATTAGCCAGGTGCTTCATGATCTAGGCTCCACACTCTGGTAGACAGGTAGGTACACAGATGAAAATTCAGGCAAGATCTGCCTTGGGTGGCTATGAAGCACCAGCCACAAGATGGTATCACATAAGCTTCTGAAAGAGGGAATAAAGACCCTCACCAAATGATTATGCTCTGCTTTTTTTAAGCATGTTTTTAACTTCAGCAGCTAAATAACATACTGGCTCACAGCTGCTTTATTTAAAGTTTCATTGATCTGACTCTGTTGGGAGCTTATAATGAATACCAGATCCCATATCCCTTATATTTTCTATGGAGACAGGCAGAAGGAAAACACTTAAAACAAGGCAAGCTTTCTTTGAGAAGCAGGGGAGGGTGGGAATCCCCCTCAAGCAGTAATATTCCTCTGCTCCCTCACCAGACTAAAAAGGAAACACATAAAAGTTATTTATAACTTTTTTTTTTCTAGGTTATGGAACACAATAAAATAATAAAGATCTTTTGGGCTTTAAAAAACAACAACAAAAAAATCATACTTTGTAATTTTGAAAATTTCAAAGGAAACTGCATCAAGTGCCCAGAAGGGCATCGTGTTTGGAGAATTTATTAACTCAGTCATTAAGCTGGGTGGCAAATCATCTCCCCTATGCCCTGAGAGATCATGTTTGGGTTGCAGTGTCACCCCTGACACTGCTGGAGAGACTGCAAAGAGTGCTTTCTCTTGCCCCATTTACATCCCTTCCTCACCCCCTAGGCTTCAGGTTAGCAATAAGATGCTGCTGGTGGGTTTGTGCTCCTGGGGGAAGGGCCAAAATGCAACGGTGATGGGCATCCTCAGAAACTGCAAAAAGTAACCCCAGGTGTAAAGTGAAGATGACTTCATACACATGCAGAACAGAGGGAGAAGTAAAGGGAAAAAAAACCCCATTTAATTTATCTGAATCTCTCATAATTATCTTTGCTAATTGCATGAGGAAGCTACAAGGCATTAATCCTTGCTTCTCAACTCACTGGGACCAGGACCAGCCCATTAATTGATAAACTGACCAAAACAGAAACACACTTTGTTCTCTATTGCAGTAATAAGCAAGAAAACCTTATTCCAGTGCCTCAGATGAACAGCACCACATGCCCCTGCACCCAGACCCCTCCCACTACTCCACTGCATTTTTACCACCTTGTTCTGGAATTCCTGATTTTGCTGCCAAAATTCAGTAAAGAAGAAAAGCAGCCTCCCTGCACGACTGCCAGGGTCCCCACTGACCCTTCTTAGGCTGGGAACAGCAGGGCCTCCATTTGATACCGAGGGCAGGGCCCCGACTGCTTTATCTCAAACCCATCAGCCACAGGGCAGAGCAAGAAGAGAGTGATTATGTAGCAGGTGCTACCCTTGGCTCCACGACAGGACAATCAACATCGCTGAATTACCATTGCAGCCATTCCCCAGGGAGCAGCCTGGCTGGAATAAAGGGGCCATCCCTCAGTCACCACGTGCAGAACAAACAGGAGCTCACAGCTAAAGCAGAGGTCTGGAGGAAGACATGGGGAAGGTGTCATTAAAAGCATTTGTTTCCCTGCCTGCAACAGGTCTGGTATGACCTGGAGAAGGTTACTTCAGTTTTCTGTGCTTTTGTTTTTTCCCCTCTCCATCAATAAGGGCAGTGTGGGCCTTTCCACCCATGGAGATGCCACAAAGATAAAATTCCCAGTTATTTGTAAAACTGTTGAATAAAGCGCAGGGAGGCAATAAGAGAAATACTGAAGAGTTTCACTAACAAATCAACTATTTTAAAGCTTCCTGAAGGAAGCAATTATTTGGAGCCAGGTTACATTTATGAGGGAAAACAGACTGTAGGATGGTAATACTCTATCTTGCAGAGTTGAACCCAGGATAATAAATCTCCACGAAACTGCCATTCTGTGCGGGCGGCTTATGGAGATGGAGGAAAGTGATGCAGGTTTGGAGTCCTGTCACCCACAAGAAGCCCTATACTGCCCTGCAGCACCCAGGGAGAAGAGTACAAAATGGGAAACCCAGCATATCTGCACTCTTGGGTACCAGGCTTCCACTTCTGGCTCCCTAGGAAAGCTCTGCTACTCCCAAATCTGGCCCCTGATCTTCTCAACATGAGGAGATTTTTAAATGTGAACTCAAAGATGGACATATATACCTTCTAATTATAGGTAACATGTTATCCCTTAGTGGAGGATCTGCCTGATGGCCAGAGCTGGGGCAGAAGCAAATCCAGCAAAGCAGCCAGCAGCTCTGCCCAGTCCAGCCAACAGCACCCCCAGCTGCCACTGACCTGTCAGGAAGGTTGTGCACTGCCACTGCCAGCTCTCCCACCTGCCCTCTCACCCCCAGCTGCCACTGAACCCCATGAATAAGACAGGTCTCCCTGATGCTCTTTGGAATTCAGAGGATGCTCTGGCCTCCAACAGCTCCCGTCTCCTTCCCTGGGAGCATCAGCTCTGTGCCCAGTGCTGCTTGGCTGCTCAAACCACTGGGTGCTGTGGTTTGACACATGTGGGAACAAGGGAGAGAATGTCTGTCCCACGAAGTGTGTCCCCCAGCCTCACTGGGATACATGAGCCTGGAAGATAAACCCTGCGTGCCACACAGAGCTGCTAAACTCAGCGTGATCTCGAACACCAACCACTAGAAGAGCTGCCAGATCAGAGGGCATGTCCGGACAAGGAGTCAAGGGTATTTGTGCCTTGACTACTGGAACCAGTCTGTGACCTCTTGCCCCAAAATCTTTTTTTTTGCTCACTGGTGTAACATGAAAAGCCTGAGCTATATCCCACAGATGCACCATGGGCTCAGCATGGACCACATGACAAAGAACTGTCAAAGGACAATCACCTTATGCCAAGGTACTCTCAGGGCTGCTCAGCTCTGCCTGTGTCTCACAGAGGGTTAAGGTGAGGAGTTTGCTGGTAAACATCATCGTCCTGCAAAAAGGAACAGAGAGAACTGGGAAGTCATTGCATGTGCTTTCCCATCCCTCCCCCTTCAGCCCAGCTTGGTGCCAAGAGAGACCATTCAGTTTTGCCAAGCACCACCACCGCTGAGGATCGGGGGCTGGCAGTGTGTCCTGCTCTCCTCTCCAGGCAGCTCCGTAAGGAGCTCTGCACGGCGCTGGCAGGTGAGGATGCGCTAACGCCCTGTGAAGCACGGGGCTGGCTGGCACGCAGCCTGCGGGCATTCTGCTTTCGGGAGGGGGAATCTGCATTTTCACGACGCCCGTAAAAACAAGCCAGCGGCTGGGGGAGCTCTTAGCGCAGGGGAGGGAGGGTCCCGGCCGGGGCAGAGCTTCCCGGCGGCGGCGCTGCGGGACGCGGCCCCGGCTCCGTGCTCCCGGACACCCCACGGGCACGGAACATCCCGGCTGCGAGCCCGGCAGCGCGGCGTGCGGCTGGCAGGACGCCTGGGGAGGGCAGTAGCCCCTCTGTCCCTTTCCTGAGCGAGCTTCTCCAAGGGGCTTTGTGGCGGGCTCGGTCTTTGTGACGGGGCTGCTTTTCTGGAGCAGATGTTCCTGTGTGCCCTGGCCTTTCTGCCCTTCTTGCCCTTCACCAAAGGGCTGGCTGTCGAGGAAGATTGCCCAGACCACTCACCGCAGGCTGCCTCCCTTCAGACTTGTCTCCCACAGTCATTTCTCATTGCCAGTACAAACCAGAGGTGACAAATAATTTCCAATGAGTCAAGAAAGGTACACTCCTGGCTGCCAGAATTGCTGTGGCAGGAGACGATCACCCAGTGAAAAACAATAATTAAAAACAATTCCTGGAGGCCAATGACTCCCATGTGCCAACTATCTGGTACAGGAAGGTATGCACAGACCAGGGAGATCCAGTTTTGCAGTAGTGAAATTACAGTGAGATCTGCTTCCTGTGCGGGAATAATTTTTGGAACAAGTGGAAATAGGAGGAAGGTAAATGTCACTCCTTTTCTTTAACCTGGCTGTTCCTTCCCAAAGAATAAATGTTATGTCTGTAATTACACAAAATCTTCCCATCTTTGAGGACTGCTTTGAACAAGCTGGCCAAAAGGATCTCATCCCTCCTTCCCTTCCCTATTACATTACTGGTGGATTCTGTTAAAAGAAAGGAAGACTCATTACTACACTTACCTGAAAAGAGTTACCTTAGTTTTTGAAGCAAAACAAACATTAATAAAAATAGTAATTAACTATATCCCACTGAAAGAACAGTGTCTCCTCCTCTGCAGTTCCTGCTTCTCCCACCCTCCCAATGCAGCACAGCAACAGAAGAGGGAAGAGCAGAGCCTGCCCAGCCTCCCCTATGCACTCACAGATGCACTCACCCATCTATCTGTAGATCTCTCTGATGTCTCCTATACTGATCTGGTACTCACTTGGGATTATTATTTCACCAATGAAAGCTATCTCCCATCTAAAAATAGCACTCTCTTCCTATACATTACTCTTCTTACACAGATTCAAAAATTAATTAGCCATTTATTATATTTACCCTGTCTTCCTCTCTGAAATCCACTCATACCATACATAATCTCTTTAAACCTTTCTCCCCTGCCCAGCCTGGCCTCATTCCTCAAGGAATTCTATGCAAGCACACCAAGGGCAGCCTTTGCTTCTGAACTTGGAAACTTGATCCTGCTAAGGCTGCACCAACTCTGAACCTCTCTTCCCCAAGCCACTTGAGCTTCCCTAGGTTTAGCTTCATCCTGGTTTTCACAACTGCAACATATTAATTAATGATCTACTAGATTTCCAGGCCACAAGGCCTAAGCAGTTAAATCCCCCCCACCAAATAAACAGAAGAAACTACAGCTTCACTTTAAAAGAATTTTTTTAATTTAGAAATGCAGTTATATACATAGAACAATTAAATTAAACTTTGTACAAATATTAAAATACTATTTTCACACCCACTGCAATGTACAGGATACCAGAAAATACATATAAAATAAAGCAAAATAAAACAGATTGAGTGACATCCTGCACAGCATCAGTTATGGTTTTAAATCCCACATATATATGGAGTACCATTCTGCAAATAATTCCATAGTGGTGCAATTCAGATAAAAAGAAAACACGTATAGGAAAGAAAAGATTAAAGCAGAAAGGCAATCAAGCTCCCCTTGCACTTGGATCAGCAACTACCAGCAGTCTACCCACCACATCATTGGACTCCTGCTTCATAGACACCTTTGCTTTGTTTTCTTTTGGAAGGAAGCAACTTTGAGAACTGAACTAAAACATTTTCCAGCAGAACTCAGTTGCCTCTGTCTGTTCTCACTCAAGGACAGAAGCAAAAGCATAGCTCACAGAAAGCATGTGCAGAGCATAACAGAACATGTTCTGGTGGGTACCCAGACCTGAACATCACCTGCAGAGGGTTGAGTTTGAAAGCAGTGCTGAATGCAGGGCCCTGAAGTGTGGGAAGTGGCATGTTCTGTCCTGGTGTGCTAGGACTGGAAAAAGGCTTACCTCTTGTATAAAAATACACCTCAAAATGAAGCCTGCTCTAGGAAACCGCTTTGCACTTTTAAAACCTATAGCAGAGAAAAGCCATTTTCTAATGAAGTTATTCTGCAAGCAAAGGTTTTCACATAGAGCAAATTCAATCTGCTGTTCCCTGGTAAGGACTGAAGGGTGAGGACGGGGTGAGGCAGGATGTGCAAAATGAATGGGATTTATTGCATTTATATACAAAAAAACCAAAGTGAATTTATTTAAATAGATATCTGGATAGAGTAACAAGGCAGATTTCTTTTGTTTAAACTGCTATCAGAACAGTAAAACCACTTTTTTTGCAAGTATGTTCTAAAAAGGTCAGCAAGGACAGCTCAGTGTGTCCAAGCAGTTGTACATTAATTTTTTTTTATACAGCAAGCCTGCTGGTGTATGCTAAATCATCTAACAAAGCACAAGCTTCCTTACAACCTGGTCATGATTGCATTAGCTCATTAGCCTGTAGTAAATCTCTGTTTTCTGCTCTTCCTTAGACAAGTCCTTGTGTTCCCTTTCTGTGCTGCAAATGACCTAACCATCCCAGATTATTTCCAATGGCTGAGCCAGTTGCTGTCTTAGCCCCACTGCTCAGTATTGACCCAAGCCATCCACCTCTTGGAGTACCTTGGGATGTTTCTTCCCAAAGCATGTGGAACATATTTCTTCCTAACACACCCGAGTTCTCCACACACTGAAAGGCTAAATTAAGACTCCAGATGCAGTAAACATCTGAAAGGCCAAGGAGAAACCTTAGCAGAGATGTCCAAGGGGTGAAAAGCACTCTGCTTGCTGAGTAACATTCTGCTACCCAGCAACTTCCCTGGTGGTTAAGGATAAAAATGCATTAAGCTCTTCTCCCTCCCAAACTCATGAACACAGCAACAACTCCAAAGGCTCACACGCTTCAGGTGCATCTCTCCTGACTTAATTTTTACATCTTCTGCAGTTAATGGTGGGGAGGCACAAGCTATTTAAAACAAGAACACACAAACCCCTATCTCACCAGTGCTGCTGACTCCCTTCAAGGCTGCAGGAGGCTCTGACACATCAG